CGGGAGGCTCCTGGAGACGACATCAATGAGCAGAAAATAAGCTGTGCATCTGGCAAGATCAATGCTGCAAGTCTGCGCTGAGATAAACAGATGTCAACCTTGCTCATGCCTGCCCGGACCCGGGTCCAGAAATTCCTCGACCTGTTAGAATTTGCAGGGGAATAAGCCGGGCTGGCGCTAATCCCTTTGTTGACAAGAATGGGGCACATCTGCTGAGCACTTAGGACGGGCCAAGGGCTGGGCCGAGAGGTTTCATTTCTCTTCCTCCTGCGGATCCTCAGAACTGCTCTTGAAAGGGAGGAGGAGAGTGCCCCTCCGTGACCTCATGCTGCCCCGGGCCCTGGAGGAGCCCCAATCCTCCCCTTGATGAGTAGGTTGCATCTGCGTGGGGACCTGGCCACAAAGGGACGAGTTCCAGAATCAACAGGCATCTCAGTCTGAACATGATGTGCTTCTGAGGCTACGAGAGCCAAGGGCGCTCCTGAGACAAAGGGCCAGCTGTCTTCCACCCAAGACCGTGATGCTGACCTCCTGCTCAGAATGGCTCTCGCTGTGTGTGGGCATGGGGCGACGGGGCGACGGTACGGCGGGATCAGAGGGACAAGGGATCAAAGAAGCCTCGGGTCTTGCAAATGGGCAGGGCTGTGGCACCTCTGGCTGGTAGTCTCCTTGCCTCCTGGAGCCTCAGTTTCCCCAAGAGAAAATGGGAACAGTCATGCCTAGTTCACAGGGATGACGTGAGAGTGACACGAGAGAATTCTGTCAAAGGGCCCATCCTGTCCTTGCCATCTTGTGTGCAATGAGACCTCCTACTACCCGAATGGTGGGCGCACCAGGCAAGGGCTTTGCATCAAGATGATGCAGCTTGCCCCAAGGTTAGTGCCAATGCAGTGGTGGAGATGGTGAACAAGGGTGCTAGCTCAGAGGGAGCCCTAAGAAGAGCCGGGGGTTGGCTGGCCAGATACCGACCCTCGGTATTGGAGAAGCACGTGGGAAGGACAGCTGTCACTTTTCAGCAGCCTCGTGCTGAACCCACGTGTAGTGCTGGGGCCTCCTCCTCTGTGTGTCTCGGGGCAAGGCTATGCTACAATAGCCAGAAATGCCAGTGGCCGGCTCTCCCTGGGGACAAGAACCCAGGGACGGCTGTGTCCAGGGCATGGGCCAGGCTCTTCCAGGCCCCCCGGTTTTTTGACTCCTCTTATACCCCCGTTCTGGTTCTCCAGCCTCCCTGGCAATTCTGAGAGTGACCAGGTATCCTCCTCATCCCTCTGGTTCTGCCCAAATGAGACAGAGCCGGCCTGGCCGCCTACTTGCACCCAAGACCTCACCCTATGCACAAACTCCACGTGCCAAGGACTTACTCTTTCTCGTGGGTTTATGCATTTCTCGTACATTCTGCCATTTTAAAATATCAAGAAGATGGACTTGCGAGGTAATTCATATAAGCTCCTCATCTGGTTTGAGAAGAAAGTGTGGGTGGTGCTCGCAGTAGCAGAATGAAACCTGTAGATTCCTGGCTCGCCTGGGGAAGTTTCTAACCTCAGTTGTTGGCAACTCTCCCCGAAATGAAGAAGGTTGGGCTGACTAGGAAATTCAACATATTATTGGCATCTAATGCTGCTCCCCAGGTCTCACCTGGGACTCTCAGGTTTGGGTCTATACAAAGCCAAGTAAGCTTGGTGTGGTTGGTCTCAGACACATGCTAATTCCCAGATCTATCCTATATAATAAAGAGGTAATTTGCAAATTGACCATCACTCCAACACATAAGATGGCTGCCCCCATGTGGACACAAGATGGCCAACAGGGGAGGGCAGTTAGGATGGACCAAGCCTGCAAGGGAGGGCATTTAGGGGCAAATGGGCTGGTAAGGGATCCCGTATAGTGTGGGTGGTTGGACATCCCTCGAGGGGTCCCAGATTGGAGAGGGTGCAGGCTGGGCTGAGGAACACACACCCTCCCCATACATGAATTTCGTGCACCGGGCCTCTAGTTTCTTAATAAACAGCGCAAATGCCTCAAGACCTACATGCTCTGTATCGCGTGACTCATTCCATGGCATAACAAGAAAAGACACAAAAGGTCACAGGGGAGTCACTGGATTTCCCTATCAGCTAAGCTGACCACCATGTAGACCTGAGGTGATTAAAAAGCTGATTGTTATGTGGAATCTAATGAACAAAATAACTGATGAACAAAATAGATCCGGACACATAGAAGCATGGAACAGACTGACGAATCTCAGAGGGAAGGTGGGGGCGGAGGGTGGGTGGGGAGAGGTTAACCGGGAAACTTCTATGCATATGTGCATAGCCCCTGGACACAGACACTAGTGTGGTGAAGGCCTGGGAGGGGCAGGTGCAGGGTGGAGGGGGGTCAATGGGAAAAGAAGGGGGGACATCTGTAATACTTTCTACAATAAATATAAATGAAAACCCACACGACTGTTTCCTCTTCTCACCCCCACCCCGCTCGAGACCAGCTGCAAGCACATTTCCTGTTCATTCCAAAGCCAGAACAATTTGGGGCCTAATCTAAAATCCTGTGACATTTTTGCCTGATTGAAATTTGGTGGCTGCCCTCTATGGAAATTTCCCCTCAGAGGGACGACCGACAAAGAGCCAGGCATTCGGAAGGATCACGCAGGAAAGAACGAGTTTGTTCTAAAAAGGCAAACCTTCCTTCTCAGAGAAGATTTTTTCTTTTTCCTGCCAGGAAAGCTGAGAACAGATGGTGGAACTTCACCGGAACTCTTGGATTGAAAAAGCCAAGTCCGGGAAAGGCGGAAGAAGGGGGCAGGCACTGTGGGCGACGCTGGTGCTGCTTTTTTTCTTGGGAGTACTGAAAAAATCAGTTGCATTGACAGCTTCTTCCAAAGAACTCTCAATAGTGAACGTGTCACCCCCACGCTCGCAATGGAACAGTAAGGAATGGAAGTGGTGTTTTGAGGGTGTTCAGATGACTCACTATCCAACAATAGGATGTTCAGCAATGTCTCCCTGCATCCCACACACTGCTCAGTGTTCCAGAAAATCGAGGGCCCTGTTCCCAGTGACAGATTAAAAAAAAAAATCTACACAAGGGATTCCACCTGTAGGGAACCTGTTAATCACTTCCATTAGCTCTTTAAAAAATTTTATTGATTTTTTTTAAGAGAGAGAGAAAGGAAATAAGAGAAAGAGAGAGAACATCAATTTGTTGTTCCACTTATTCACGCGTTCATTGGTTGATTCTTTATGTGCCCCGACCAGGGATCGAACCTGCAACCTTGGCATATCTGGAGGATGCTCTAACCAACTGAGCTCCCCGGCCAGGGTGGTTCCATCAGCTCTTGGCTGGGAACACTGTGGCCCACCACAACATTCCAAGGCTCTCGTGTTGGGCGTGTATGTCATTCTATAAGACTCTAACCAGCGCTATGACCATGAGCAGTGAGTCAACGTTCTCCTTCACATCCCGGGCAAACGTCTGAATTAGCAGTGACGTGGCCCAAAGGCAGAGAGCAAAAGGCCCCAGCCAACCTGACAGATTGCACCTGCCAGGAAAAGGGCCGCTGGCAGTGAAGGGTTCCAGCGTGACCCCACCCCATCCCATTCGCTTTCTATTAGTGAAACAACTGTGTGGACGGTTCCCCAGTGTGGAGAGGAGGAAAGCTGCACATCTGACAGGCCTTCCCCGCTGAGCCCGGATCGGCCAGGTCCTGGGCAGCTGTGACTTCCTCACCACCCACAGATTCACACGGAAGTCCTGCCCCAGCTGGTGACCTGTCTCCTGCTCACCACCACCGGCAGCAGGACTGAGACGTCACTGAGGTCCCTGGAGACTGATTTCTACTTGGACCCTTCCCAACCAGGGTCTTAGAGGATGGGCTTTGGCCCAATCCCATCCTAACATTTAGACATGTGGTGTCTCCACTGTTATCAGAAAATAAGTTAACAATCTCGCCCCACCATTATTTTTCCATTGATTTTGAGAGAGAGTGGAAGAGAGGGGGAGAGACAGAGAGAAACATCAATGTGAGAGAGATGCATCGATTGGCTGTCTCCCATATGCATCCTGACCAGGGCTGGGGATCGAGCCTGCAACCAAGGTACGTGCCCTTGACTGGAATCGAACCCGGGACCCTTCAGTCCTCAGGCTGATGCTCTATTCACTGAGCCAAACCGGCTAGGGCCTTTTTTTGTTTTTGTTTTTGTAAATAAAAAATCTTTATGAACATACCACTTCTGTACATTTGTCCCAGCGGCACTGACTCTTCCAAGAGAGGGTCAGAGGGTCAAGTCTCCCCTGAGATAAGGCAAATTCCAGGGAAGGAGATGCAAAAAGGTGGCACCCTCGCCCGGCTCATAGGCAAAACCAGTTCACAGGCTGCTGTCTCCCCTTCCCAGGTGCCTGGGAGCTGAGTGTGGGTGTCAAAGGGTGAGCTTCCCGGCCCCAGGCAAAGGCAGCAAAAAGCCAAGGCCACGCTTCTCCTCCAGCCTCTCCCCTACCCAGCGTCCTGGTGGCCTGTGAGCCAACTGCCTTTTATGGAGAACCAGGGGGAGGTGGGAATGAGAGAGAAGGCTCTAGGCTTGGCGATTTGGATGCGTCCTCTCTGAGTTACTCGGACTTGTTTTCCTCCAGGGCTTATCCATGGAGCGAATTCATGGGGGAGGCAGCCGAGGTTGCAGAGAAAGGTCTGCGGAGGATAAAAATAGCCTTGGCTTCAGCGTGGAAACCCAAGCCCTGTCACGGGCCCTTCCAGACTCTTTCCTTTGGCGGGTCACAGGAGGGAGCCTTCACTCCAGGATGGATTCCTAAAGAACAATGCGATCCCGACAAGAGCAGGCCGCAAAGTCCTTCCCGGGGGCCGGGAGCCGAGGCAGGCATGGTCCTGGGCCTACCACAAAGCCAGCCTCTTGGCTCAGAGACCATGTTTACCCTCAAATTCCAGCACCAAGCCACCCAGGTTCCCTCACCCTCCGAGGAGGGCGGTGGCGGGGGAAGAGGGGGTGACTCACCATCATCTCCTCTGGGTTCCCGTTGGCGATCTCCACCACCCGCAGGGCAGGGTCCACTTTCACCTTGGCCCGGGTCATGAACTGGATGACAGATGAACTGTCCTGCAGAGGGAACAGCACAACTCACCGTCAGATCGTCCAGTGACCATGGCTGGGGACCAGGCAGAACCGAAATGCCAGGATTCCTTGCGGACCGGACAAAAACTGTATCCCTGAATCAGATACCTCCCCCTCCCAGGCATCCCCGAGGCAGAGATCTCCAGGCTCCCTGGAGAATTCTTTCATACCCGGAGGATGCGGAAAAACGAAGGAGTCTGCCCACCACCAGCACATTGCTAGCTTGTGAGCTGTGGTTTCCGAGCGCAGAGAGCCAGGCATTGGGTATTGATATGGATGTAGTCACAAAGAGCAGAGAATAAATGCAGCTTAAATTGTGTAAAACAAACCCAGCCTGGCATTCCACAGCAGGCATCTGATTTACATTCGCAAGCATCTTCCCGCCCTGACCACAACCCTCCAACCCTTCCCAGCAGTTACTTTTAACTCTTTCTTTGCTCCTAAATGAAGATGTTTTGGGTTCAAAGCCATTTAACATGGAAACACGAGGAAGCAGGAAGCATCGGGCTAATACGTTAGGCTGTGGACCAAAGAGACAGGGGCCCGGGTAGGCGCAGAGTCAGAGCCACTGACCCAGAAAAGCAGAACACGGCTCCCAGGCAGGGATGGAGAAGGAATTTGGAAGAAGACAGGGGTTGGCAAAATATGGCTTAGGAAAGGGCCAGATCGCATTTTCAATCTGGGATACTAATAATTATCACCATCATCTCAGGTACAATAACCGTGATAAGGAGGCTGTTGGGTTAGAGGCTGAGCTGTGAGGAAGCTGCCCCAGCACAGGCCTTGGTGGCTGTGGGAGAAGGACCCTTTCCAAGGAATCTAAGTCCCCTGGTAATTAAAAAAATCAGATCCCACATTTCACATGGAAACTTAAGGTCAAAACAATAAAACCTCAAATTCCCTTGTCTGGGGCCAGACCTTGAGGTCAAAGGAAGATAAACACACTGGAGGCCCAGGCGAACCACAGGGCTGGCACCGCCCATCCTCAGGGAGTGGGGGGCTCCTGGAGCCACTCCCGCTCCTCTCCCCAGGGGGGCGGGCTGTGGTCCGGACACCGAGTTTCAAGCACCTGGAGCAGCTGGGACCCATCTGGCCTCCAGGTCAGCCTCCTCCTAGGCTTGGCATTGCTGCTGAAAAAGCATCTGCAGCGAGGATGACCCTCCAACACCCGCAGAAGTCACCCGCTGGCTTTCTGCTCCTAGGGCGCAGACTGGACCGGGTGACCCTGGGGGACAGAGTCAGTGGGACACGTTGCTTGGCAAAGGGTCTCCACGGATCCCGGAGAGAGAGGGAGATGCAGAGGGTCAGGCCGCAGAGCTGGGTACAAGGAAGGCTGGAGGCCTGGCCTGTAGGTTAAGGACAAATGACCGAAGTGCAAGGGGCAGCCGCCTGGGTTCAGGGTGAAGGGGGGATCGGAGTGGTTTCCCGCCACCAGTGCCAACACCAGGGCTTGGCTGACAGTGGGGAATAAAACTGTCACCAGGCCCATTTGTCAGGAACACAGGCTGGGCACATGTCTACCGTCATAGTCTGTCACCTGACCTGGGGCCCCAGGCCAGGGCGGCACCTGCAGTGATGTGGGGCTTCCAGACCCCCTTCTGGGATCACGCGATGCCAGGGGTGCTCTAACTCATGCCCGGGCCTCTCGCAACTCTGCCCCTTTTCAGGGGACAGGGGCAACAGGGAAGCTCTACTGTGTGACCCCAGTGTGCCCCCAACCCGTTTCCCTCCCTTGGAAACCAGAGCAAGTGGGACTGTGGGTGGCTCTCCCTGGGTGTGGGAGGGCTGCCCGGCTCCACACAGGACGTGGGGAAACATCCTGACTCCCCATTCCCCTCCGGTCAGCGTGGGACTGCCATGCCCAAGTGAGAAAATACCCCTGGAATGACTTTCCTAAGGACGTTCATTCGCACACAGACGGGCTTACGCGGACTGACACGTCTAGTTTTTCCAAAGGAAAATAAATAAACTCTCTGTGGCTAACATGCATATTTGGTGTTATCTTCGCATGTGATTATTTTTAAAGCATCTTGTTGGATGTGGCCTTTCGTACTCAGCAGCTCTTCTGTCAAAATAAATCAGAGTGAATTTGTATGATTTTTTAAGGGCCGCTGATTCACTGACTGAGGTATTTTTTAATGAACTTAGAAACTATATATTTGTATTGTTTTTATTGATTTCAGAGAGGAAGGGATAGGGAGAGAGACAGAAACATCAGGGATGAGAGAGAATCATTGATTGGCTGCCTCTCGCATGCCCCCCAGTGGGGATCGAGCCCACAGCCCATGCAATTGAACCATGACCTCATAGTTCATAGGTCGACACTCAATCACTGAACCACACTGGCCGGGCTATGAACCACTTTGGATAAACTCACAATAGCAAAGTGACTTGAGGTTCAAAAGTTGGACTTCTCTGAAACAAGGTGGCATCTAAACCCGGCTCACAGACTACCACCCATGGGTCAAACCCCGCCCTCTGCCTGTTTTTGTAGATGTTTCACTGGGCCCCAGCCACACCCATTTGATTGAGCACCGCCTATGGCTGCTTTCACGACACAATGGCAGAGATGAGCAGTAGCCAAAGACTGTATGGCCCTGCAGGTCTCAAATATTTACTACTAGAGGCCTGGTGCACGAATTCGTGCACAGGTGGGGTCGGCCAGCCCGCCCCGATGGGGGCTGATCAGGGGCTGGGGGAGAAGGGGGGCTGTGGGAGGTTGACCACTGACCTGGGGGGCCCCTGTGGGAAATTGGCTGTGGGGAAGGGCTGCAGGAGGTTTGGGAGGGAGTCAATTGGGGCCCTGATTGGGCCAGTTGGCCACCGCAGAAGGTGGGAGAGGGGCCACGGGAAGTTGGCCAGCCAGCCTGGCCCCCAATTGTGATTGGGGGCTGATTGGGGGTGGAGCTGGCTCGGGGGAGGGGCTGTGGGCCAAGAGAGGTGTGTGAGGCTGATTGGGGTGGTGTGGGAGGAGCCGATCAGGGGTGGGGCCAGCCGAGGGGAGGGGCTGTGGGAGGTTGGCCGGCCGGCCGCACCCCTGATTGGGCTGGTTGGCTGGTTGCAGTGGATGTCATAGCGACTGGCCGTTCCGGTGTTCTGGTTGCTGGCTTTTTATATATATAGATTGGTCCTTTACAGAGAAAGTTTGCCAACTCCTTGTCTAAAATGTGGTCCCCAGACCTGCAGTATTGGCATCACCAGGGAACTTGTTGGAACTACAGCATCTCAGGCTCCACCCCCAGGAATCTGCATTTTAACGAGGTCTCCAGGTGATTCAGACAGCCAGAGAAAAACGTGCGAACTAAGAAGCTTGTTCAAATGAAGGTGCTGACTCAGCAGGTGCGGGGTGGAGCCCAAGATTCTGCATGGCTAACTAGCTCCCAGGGGAGGTGCTGTTGCGGACCCTTGGTCCACACTTTGAATAGCGAGCCCCGTTTTTTCCCCCTGGCATCCTCCGGCAGAATTCCCACGGGCGCCGGCCAGGAACGCTGCAGAAGGGGCAGGCAGCGTTTCAGGAGAAACCCATCCGGATGCTCTTCAGTGAACCTCGCGGGTGCAGTGGCTCAGGACTTACCTTCTTCAATATCTCTGTGTTCAGCAGCATGTAGATGTCGATAGCGCGACTTTCTTCTCTAGCAAGGGCGCTCAGGTTACAGTGCATTGTTAGGCAAGTGATTCCTGGTTTTTCACAGTCCTGAGAAGGAAAAGCAGGGGGCTGACCAACGGTAGTGAGAGCAAAGACAGCTGCCCGGCCGTTGGGGGAGCAGAAGGCTCCACCTGCTTCTATCCTGATGACTAAGACCACTCCAGGCAGAGGAACCGCAGGGGAAGATGCGATCACTCCTTCTCGCCACCAGAGGGCAATGGAGGGATTTCCTGCCCAGTGGGCACCAGAATAGGCCTTCAAGTCAAGCAACCGGGAGAAAGCAGCTCCCGGGTTACTAAAAAACTGGATTTTGTGAGAAAGAAATCATTGCTTTTAAAAACAAACACATTTACATATTCCAAAAGCATTTTCCTTATGAGAAATGAACACAAGATGTATTTCCTACATTATGGAGTATCTGCCTGTGCAGCGGCAAATACACTTCCATGCCCATGTTTTCAGGGAGGGCAGATTCGAGGGCTAAGGAGTCATATGGCTCAAGAAAACACAGGAGCAAAGAAAAACACATGTTGGCCCAAGACAATATGTGAACCACCAAAAAAAAAAAAAAAAAAAAACCCCCCCCCAAACACCCCCCAAAACCTATATATTCCAAATTCAAGTTACAAACGAGAAATTCTCTTTTGCACTGTAGGGTCCAAAATGTACACACATGCCTTTATGATGCTTTATGTGGGGGGTAAAATTTTCAGCCGGGTACAGAGTGGCACCAAACCGCTAGTTATCACTACTCCTAACAATTCTAAGCGCTTTAAAAAATAGACGCATCATCAGCACTAGGTAAGTAAAAACACACACACACCCCCAATATCCCAAGCGGCAATCAATCCTACATCTTCTACAGGAGCGGAAATGAGTATGAGATGTGCCTAGGCTGCAAAAAGAAGCTAAGGAGACGGAACCAAAGATATGGGGGAAGGGGACTTTGGAAAAGCATAAGAAATGGGGGTATAATTTACAAACAGCAAACAGATTGCATCTGGAGGGTCCACCCTGATATATTTTTACCTATGTTCATACCCAGATCAAGATGTAGAACATGGCCAGCACGGAAGCAGATTCTCTAGGGCCCCCTCCCATGGCTATTCCTCAGATAGTAACCACTCTCCTGACCTCCATCACCACTGATAGTTTGCTATTGCTAAACTTCTGGTCTCCAGCTCTGCCACCCAAATATGTATAGGAGAGTCATGTGTGCTGCTGCGTGCAGCAGCTTCTACTGTTCTGTAATACTCCCGTGGATGGCGACACCACAATCATCTACACACTCTCTGGTTGATGGATGTTTGGACTGTTCCCAGCTTTTGGCTATGATACATTGACTGTGCTTCTCGTCCATGTCTTTTGGGGGACACAAGTACTCAATTCTCTTGGGGATCTACCTGGGAGTGGAATTCCTGGGTCACAGGATACAAATATCTTTAGCTTTAACAGATACTGCCTGGCAGTTTTCCAAAGTGGTTGTACAAGGAGCATCCCTCTCGATGGGACGCCTACTCGGTGGAGAAAAGACTCACGACTTTGAGTTCGGTGGGTTGCAAAGGCTTTCCCTTTGCCGGGCAATGGCATTTGAAATGTCAATTGAACACTTTGATGGAAACCTCAGGCTGAAAAACAGGAGCTGGCCACCAGTCCTTGTGACGTTGAAAGATAACGGATTAAAGCCAGATTTGGGGAAGGAGACATGCCAACCAGAGCACTGGCCTCTCATCTCAGGAGGACCACCCACGGGGACCCAACCAGACAGCACATTCTCACCAAGACTTTTCTTCCAGACTTTGTGAAGAAAGCAAAGATAGTGTGGAAGATATTTTCTTGTTCCTGGGGGATGATGCAGGGGGTCGGGTTCTTCTGGAAGGAACAGTTTCCCTTCTCCTGGCCCACCTGAAAAGGAAGAGAAGTCTGTCAGCGCGGCCCACCCAAGAATGGATCGTGAGCATGGAGTCTCTTACTGTAGCGGTGGGAGCAGCCAAGCCCAAAGCCAGCCTGCCCTCTGGTCCACTCTCCGGTGGACAGTAAGGGGGGAAAGCTGCGAGGCAGAGGTAGTAGCGCCAACATGACCAAACAACAGAAAGTGTGGGTCTCACTCCTTAAATAATTGAGAGGAGATGGCACTCAACATGCACATGAGAGGTGCCTAGGAGACAGAACGTCTTAAGGAACAAAACAGACCTACACCTGATGGTTTCCAAGGCACATTTCCAAGCACTTTTAGTACAACTCCGAGAGATAAGCACTCATGCTATTTGTCCAGAGGAGGAAAAGGAGACTCGGGTTAAGTCACTTGCCAACAATCACGGAGTCCAAAAGACAGGTTTTGAACCCAGGTCTTCTGAGACCCCACCTTTATATATAGTCCACCACCAGAGGTTCTCAAACTGTGTTCTGTGGAACCCCTAGAGTGCTATACAACCCTCTCGTGTCTTGCAGCCACCTGATTTTGCCTCTGGCAGCAACAGCAATGGTGCTGAGCAACAGAACATGAAAACCAATAGAAACCCAAAACAACGGTGTACACTGTTCCATGTTGATTTCTCTAAGAACAAAGTTATTTTTAATGTCTACGTTGAGGAGTTGCTGAAAAAAACAAGGTCTTTATGTAGTATCATATCACACTGGTGGAAGCTTCAGGCCAAGTAGCAAAATTAATAATTAACAACTCATAATTTAGGATTGTGTTTACAATTCCACCCCTAACCAGAAGCGTCTGTTTAAACTCTCTTATCTCTAATGCCCTGGAGTACGATACAGTGTTTGCTTTGAATTTATTGAATAATTTTTCAACTTCTCATTCATGGTAGGTTTCGTTTAAAATGTTTACACAAAGAAACTTCTAATGTAAGCTAACAATGTTAATCCTTTAGTAATGAACTATAAAATAAGACCCCCAAATTTGCTAAATTATTCTCTATTTTATCTTTGGTCTGAACACATATGCCAGGATTTACTTTGTAGTATAGGCCTGAACATAAATGAGGGGAAGATAGATTTCCTCAAGTGGCTTATTAGGAAAGAGTTTTCCCTTTACAAATATCTCACAGTTTATGACTTATTATTCTTTAAAAGTATCTCATAATTCGGTATTTTCTCAATTACTTTATTTGAACCACAAACCCTGGGAAGATACACCGGCCTGAAATATTTTAATCAGTTGGTTTTGGAGGCTTTCAGAAGTCACTGGAGGGAATTAAAGGGAAGGAAGCAATGAGATTTAATACATAATCGGTGATTATTCCTGGGGTGGAATTGTTGTAGTTGTGATAAGTATTGGAAAGCTCATTTCAGAAAGCAGAACACAAGTGGCTTATGTAGTTCGGATCGTGATTACTTATCAGACGGACGAGGAACACAAGTGCTGCAATGTTATACACATGGGGGTGTCTTTCAGTGAAACTTCAGCACTCAACATGGACCCACAATGTTCTGTATCTCAAATAAATTGGACAGACTGAAGACGACAGGCTCTGGAAAACTGTCAACTAAAAAGTGGCTTCGTAATGGGCACTGATCTTGAAAAATGTACATGTATATAACATCATTTTGTGAAATGTGTGAATGGGAAGGATGGTATAAATCAGGGGTGGGCAAACTTTTTGACTCCAGGGCCACAATGGGTTCTTAAACTGGACCGGAGGGCTGGAACAAAAGCATGGATGGAGTGTTTGTGTGAACTAATATAAATTCAAAGTAAACATCATTACATAAAAGGATACGGTCTTTTTTTTTTTTTAGTTTTATTCATTTCAAACGGGCTGAATCCGGCCTGCGGGCCGTAGTTTGCCCATGGCTGGTATAAATTAATGTCACTCTTTTTTGTTGTTGTTCTTAATTCTCACCTGAGGATATTTTTCCCATTGAAAACAACCAAGCAGTAGGCTGCGTGTGGGGACCACGCTGGCCTGGGGTGCAGTTGGGGGCAACCAGACCAGAGGGGAGGGGCCATTGGGGGCAATCAGGCTGGCAGGCAGAGGCAGTTAGGGGCAATAAGGCAGGCAGGCAGGTGAGCGGTTAGGAACCAGCAGTCCAGGATTATGAGAGGGATGTCTGACTACTGGTTTAGGCCCTATCCCTGGCATAGTTTGCGAGAGGGATGTCGGACATCCCCTGAGGGGTCCTGGATTGGAGAGGGTGCAGGCTGGGCTGAGGGACGCCCCCCGCCCTGCCCCCATGAATTTCATGCACCGGGCCTCTAGTTCATATATAATTTTAAGTACAGCAGTCCCTCTTTATCCATGGGGGGTACATTCCAAACACTCCCCCTCCCCCCGGGGATGCCTGAGGCTGTGGACGGTACCGAACCCTGCATATACTATGTTTTTCCCTTTATATACATGCCTTTCACTTAAAGGAAGCACTTTATGACGTTTCTTTGGCACATCTGAATTGCCAGCATCACTACACTTGTGCTTTGGGGCCATTGTTATATAAGGGTGACTTGAACACAGCACTGCGACACCAGGACAGTCAGTCTAATGACCAAGATGGCTACTAGTGACTAACAGGCAGGTGACAAAGGCAGCGCGGATACGCTAGGCAAAGGGATGATTCATGTCCCGGGTGGAATGGAGCTGGACGGCTCAAGATTTTATCACACTATTCAGAACGGTGTGCAATTTAGAATTCATAAATTGTTTATTTCTGAATTTTTCCATTTAATATTTTTGGGTCATGGTTGACCATGTGGGTAACTAAAACTGTGGAAAGCGAAACCACAGATAAGGAGGAACTACTGTATACACCTACCTGATTAAGTTAAATATTATTAAGTAGGTATTATTGAATTCATTATTATAACTTTTTATTGAGGTAAAATTTACATCCACGAAAGTGCACTGATCTTTAAAAAATTTATTTTTTCTAATCCTCACCTGAGGACATGCTTACAGAGAGGGAGAGAGAGAGGGAGGGAGAGGGAGAGGGAGAGAGGAAGAGGGGGAGAGGGGGAGAGGGGGAGAGAGGGAGAGGGGGAGAGAGAGGGAGAGGAGGAGAGAGGGAGAGAGGGGGAGGAAGAGAGAGAGAGAGAGAGAGAGGCAGGCTGCCTTCTGAATGTGCTCTGACCAGGGATCCAAACTGCAACCCAGGCATATGCCCTGACCAGGAATCGAGCTGGCAACCTTTTGGTGCACAGGACGATGCTCAACCAACTACATCTCAAGGGTTCAGTTTGATGAATTCTGACAACTGAAATCACTCACATCACTACCACCACCATGAAGCTAGAGGACATGTCCATCACTCCAGAAAGTTCCCTCTGGCCCCTTCCCAAAGTCAATTCCCACCCCCCACCTGAGAGGCCAGCACAGTTTTGATTTCTATGAAGTTGGCCAAAAAAGTTTGTTCAGTTCACCTCAATTAGGGGAGTGGGCGGTTGGCTTAGGTGGGGGCTGCTCTCTATTTAGGCATCCACAGCACGTGGCCGACAGAAAGCATGTTGCTCATCGAGGCTTGGAGAATCTGAGTTGTGCGCTCACATTCTTAATCGAATCACTTTTCACCCTGAAGCATGTGGGTCTTCTGGAGGGGACGGCTGCTGCCCGGCCTCGGAAATGGTCCCCCTCCGCCTGTGGCGTACAGTCCTCTGCCAAGACCATCAGGCCCGGCCACCCAAACACATTCGGTCTCGTTCAGAACAACAGAACCCCGAGTCTTGCGGGAGGCTTCGTCCTAATTACAATCAGGGAGGCGGGCAGAGCTCCTCCTGGCTCTGGCTCTGCAAACGGGCGCTTTGGGTTTCTAACCCAGGAGAGAAAGTGTGGGAGCAGCCAGTTTCACTCACATGCTTGGGGGGGGGTGGGTCCTGGCACCACCAGCCCCACAAGACCCCAGCCCAGAGGGCAGGGAGCTGGGCACGGCGGGGCAACGGGGTGAGGAGCAACCCGAGACCGCAGGGCAGAGACCTGGCTCCGAACCTCATTTTCCCTTCCCGTCCCGGGAGTCTCGGGGCGGCCTGGGAACAGGGTGAAGACGGTGACATGATGTGATCGATGTGACATCGGATCGGCCCCCGTGGCATCTGGAGGGGGGAGTGGAGACGGAGTTGGTGGTGAATGGAAATCTCAGCCAGTTGTGCTCCCAACTGTGGTTTCGTGGGAATCGCTTCAGTCGGGAAGGCGGCGTTTTTTTCCGGGAGGTTCTGGGTGGTCCTCTTTCAAAGGGAGACCGATGGCGGCACGGGTCTGATTCAGGCCCCGAATCCTCTCGTGACGCTCCCTCAGCTAAAACGGAGCAGCACAGCCTCTGGCCAGGGTCACCAAAGGGAAGCATTTTTCCACGTGTGTTGGATACACTATGCGACGGCCACAGTGATGCCCAACACTGTGCAGCCCTACTGTGTGCCAGGCTCTGAGTGTTTTACATAAACGAACTCATCCTGTCCTCACCCCCACCAGGTGAGAGGTATTAGTATCCCCACCGAGAGGCAAGGGGAGGCCAGACGACTGTCAGAGGCAGAGGCCCCCCCAGAGCAGGCGCAGAGCAGGGCTAGGGTGCAGGTCATCTGGCTCCAGAGATCTGTTTGTACCCACCTTTCTGCCTCTCAGATATAGAGCATGAGGCTGGGGCTGGGGTGACAGTCACGGAGGGGTGGTGGTCGGGGGAGGCCATCCCTTCCCCCTTGAGTGACCTGGGTCAAAAGGAAGGAACCAGTAGCCTAGAAGCCTGGGAATCTCAAGAGTCCTCCACTGTGACCCAGGTCTGCTGTGGCTCGAGAGCCACATGCGGCTCTTTGGCCCCTTGAGTGTGGCTCTTCCTAAGCTGTAGGAGTACCCTAATTAAGTTAATAACAATGCACCTACCTAGATAGTTTAAGTTTAAAACATTTGGCTCTCAAAAGAAATTTCAATTGTTGGTACTGTTGATGTTTGGCTCTGTTGACTAATGAGTTT